ATATATATATATATATATATATATATATATATATATATATATATATATATATATATATATATATATATATATATATATATGTTCATACAGCAGTCTGTCATGGTACTACTCCTTTGCACAAAACCCTGTGAAAGACACTATTTCTCACAAATGTGTGCCCAGCACATACACCTACATACTTACACAGGCATGGCATAATACTATTTTATACTTACCCCTTAGATTACGTATGAAGTCATCAAGGCCCATTTTCCGGTGGGGCTTGATGTTTGGAGAGTACATGTCGGTGTTGAGAAGGACCACAGCAAAGGCCAGGATGAAGATGGTGTCTGGGTTGTGAAATTGCTGCACCACATCAGGGTTACACATGCAATACCTCTGACTGTGGAACATAAAGCACAGAGCAACGGGATTATGACTACTTAAAAAAAAATACAGCATTAGTTACATGTTTTGTTTTATCACAAGCATATATTCTTCTGAGAGATTGACCACAACTTGTATCTCTAGTCTATTACTACCTGCACAAGATGAAGTAAATCTGAAAAGCTAAAAAAAAGGCAAAAATGGTACAACACATCACTGACCTAAATACAGATATTGATATTTCTGCATCCTGTAATAAAGTTATGCTGTGAGATTTCATCAACCTGCATTAAATTGTCTTATTCAAAAAAGGTATCCTGACAAAATGACTTGATCTGTTTATGTTGACATATGTGCAGTTTTAAAAATCTGATGATAAATTAGTGATTTGACAGAAACTTTATACATCTGAATGCAATACCAGAGAGAAGAATTAAAAGTTTTACCAGAGCTAGGATGTATTCATTATATTGTTCTTGGCTAAATGTTTATTTTTGCTCTTTAATTAACCAGCTTTGAAATAAATACATTTGCTATGCATATTTAAAAAGGAAAAGACAAATTAACCTTGTGTTTGTGTTACTTATGTGAGCTGTGTGTAATGACTAAAAACCAATCAAATAATAAAACGGATCCAAGGGTGCTGGAATGGTGAATGCATACATTCGTTTTAAACAAACAATAAAACCAGCTAAATTAAAGTAATGATAAAAAGAGAGAAAACCATTTTAGGGTCTGATTTTTCATCATCTTGTCTTTCCAATGGCCAGATCTGGATGATATGTTGCTCTACCCAGGTTGGTATGACCTGCTATGCCCTTATTCGCATTTGCTCTTAAAAGCAAGCAAGCAAGACATCCCTTTGTTGTGTTGTGCACTGTGTAAGCACTGAAAAGAATGTTAGAGTACATCATGGCAGGCTAGTGCAGCCTGTGTGATTTTTTTTAGAGGGTTTTTGGGCATTGGAACTTTGGTGAGATAAGAACAGCATCAAAATACATCACAAATTCATTAAAACACAATTTCTATTTGTTATAATGTCTGGAAAAGTTATTACTTTAGTCTTTTTTTATTCAAACATTTGCTGAAACCTCTAAATGCCTAAAGTCTTTTTTGCTCATGTTAGGATTATTATTTGTCATTCATCTATGTGCATGCTAAACACTTTTATTACCTAACTGTTAAGTAAAGTAGATGTATTAAATAGTTTTCATACCCAGGGTTTAACACTTTAAATTATAGAGGATAATTCACAGAGACTATAATTCTTAAGAAGAAAGGATGCAGTAATGCCCATCGGATTGTCCCTTTTCTAAGACCACTGTGTATTATCTCATTATGACTGGAGCCAGTGATGTCTCATCATTTACAAAAAAATTGTGTATTATGTAATGATGTCATGCTGTGGCAGGGTCTGACTTTGTAGATCTATAAAAACGCTTCCTTAATTGTTATTTTGGACCCTTCCTGATGAAGCAAACTCCATGGTGAAGTGCTGCCATTGTATCTGTGCAACCTATCTGGCCGGAGCAAGATTAAATTCTGTTTATACTTAGTTATATGTTCTTTTTTTTTTTTCACGTGTTTCGTGAGTTATATATAAAGTGTGCCATCTATGCAAAAGCATCCACTAGGTTGTCCACTCTCACCTACTGCTAGCTGGTGGTACGTTAGGTACAATGCCGCTAACCTGGCAGTAGCCAGATTGATATGTGTGGAAATTCTGTTAGCAATCTATGATGGCTGCCACTTAGTTTATCCGTGAAAAGGAGGGATGTTTAATACAACACTTCGAGCTGATTGGGTAACAAGCTAGCTAGTACCCAACTTCCATAATACACTTTCAGCCAACCCTAGCAGCAAATTGTGATGTTTCAGACATGCGCCATGAACGACAGATGGGACTGTCATTCCAACATGTCCCACCCCAAAAAACACTGCTGGCATGTCATTAGTCTGAATGGTTGTTGGTCTGACTGGTTGTTACGAGACGGACGCATAAGCAGGAGTATTTCAAGACGGATATGTTGTGAGATTGAAAAGTCAGATCTTGGATGGATTGAAAACAATCCATCTTGCAGAGCAAGGTTAGAATGCTTCCCCTCTGACCCTGAAATTAAGCTGAGATAGCCAGTGGCTGATGTGGTCTTTACCAGGAACTAACTGTTAAAAATTTTATCACAGCTGTTCAAACCAAACAAAGAGTTCCGCCCAAATGCAAAAGTCTGTGGGGGAAAAAAGAATAAGTGCTCTTCTTGTTATTGTGACAACAGATATGATAAAAGATGAGCAAGTGCAGTGATGTTTATCATCATACATTATTAAGAAGTTGATTAAAAATCCTGGACTAGCATTGTAGATGAATTGAGTAAATAATGTTAAGCTTTCAGGAAGTATTATTGATCATAAATTGACATAGAAAAAGCATGTGAATAAGACCATGGGGGGGTCATTTCTTAGAATTTGTCAAACTTAGATTAGTTCTCTGTATTTTCCATTTTAATAGTTTTATGTATACAGTTCTGCAAAATAGACCATATTTCCAGCTTTGTATGCCGTTTTCCAGCTCCTAGTGATTATCTTCACCTTTCTGTCCTGCCATCGTCCACTCCTCTTCCTCCTCATCTTTTTTACACATGCTAATGATAAGACAGGCAAGGTATCAATTCCTTGTACGTTCTGTCTGCTTTACTGTTTTCTGGTTGTTTTTGTACAATAAAAACATATTTTACTGAATTAGTTTTCTGTTTGGCACTAAATAGATTTTTATACTTTTTGGGCAGGCTGCACAGTATGCTGCCTGCAGCGAGAAGGTTCTGGGTTTGATTCCCGGCCCGGGGTCTTTCTGCATGGAGTTTGCATGTTCTCCCTGAGCATGCGTGGGTTCTCTCCGGGTACTATGGCTTCCTCCCACAGTCCAAAAACATGATTGTTAGGTTCATTGGCTTCTCTAAATTCTCCTTAGGTGTGTGCGTGAATGGTCGTTTGTCCTGTTTGTCTCTGTGTTGCAAACTTGAGAAGTAATGAAAGGGATTAACAGAAAACCTAAAGCTAAATATTACTTTGTCAGCAGAAAAACAAAAAATATTTTTATTAGGAACTAGAAAATAAAGGTTTGTATGTTTTTTGCTATTATTAATGTGAAAATAGCCACATTCCTAAATAAAACAGGACCAATTCTTTAACTCTGAGAAATAGCTGAGTGGTTACTTTTTGAAATCACAAAATTAATAAATAAAATGAGTTTTTTCTTAAATATTTACACACGTTCTCTAAAAACACACATCGTGTTCTCAGAACTCCATACAATATCTTAAACACACAAAATCTTTAAAACCCTTCAATTCTCCTGCAAAATCAAAATTTACTTTCAAAAGAATACAACTTCCTCTCAGAGTGTTTTTTTTCTCTCTCTTGCAAATGACTCACACAAACCAAAAAATGAAAAACATTGAGAACCATTTAAACATGAATGAGCTATATTTGAATAAGTGTAAAACACTATGATCAATGAAAATCACAAATTATGACTTAGCCCTTTTTCTCTTCACTGCTCACTTTTTTTTAAACCCCTTTTTATAGTCACAAAAAATTAAAATATATCTTATAAACTGTTCAGCATATTTTATTTTTCCGTCAAAAAAAAAAATCAACACAAAGTTGCACATGGTGCAACATATTTAAAAAAAAGAAATATTTGCTGTAAATGTGGTAACAGCAAAAAAAATGCTCCATCCTTTCATGCATTCCAATGTTAACCTCCATTGAACCAAAGCAGAAGGTCTCACCTGTGACCCGTTTCTACTCAAGCTCTGATTACTAAACGTAAAACTGTGTGGCAGGTGTTTGCCCATGAGATGAGTCATGTGGAAAGTTAAACAAATTGCTTTCAGAATCTTGAATGATCGTGTTTTTTCTGTGAGAACAGGATATATTTTCTCTCATGCTTGAATGAGAACAGTGTGTAGAATTTTAGAACTGCATCTATAGAGGAGAGCAGGAATTGTGTTTAGAGTTAAGCAGAACTGGTTCAAGCGGTTGGTTTATGAGTGACATGTTGCTGACATTATGTCCCAGTTATCTGTTTTTGTGTGCAAACAATTGAGAAAAAACTGTCATGGGATTATAGTGACTATTATATATGTAAGGGTGGCAATGTATTTTTAAATATGCAATGAAAATAGTGTTGTATTATAAGGGTTGTATATTTATGAAGTGATAGTAGTAAAATTTACTAATCTAAGGTTTTGTTTGTATTAAAAGATTTACATGGACTAATGTGGCATGAGGTATTTTATTTATTCTTTTTTATGTACCTGTTATCATTTTTTTTTTTCCAGGAGGTTTATGACACTGATTTCATCCAGAGCAACTTACAAAAAATAAAAAATAAACAACCCAACCACAGCATTCTAACAGTATACCTGCACTTCTCTGCTGTCAAAGTATTATTATTGTTTCAAATATTTAAACTGGCACCATGTTTGTTTACTTAATAATAAATCAAATTTTATCTATTCAGCAAAAGTCTGCAACAGTTTTCCTCTGGCCAAAAACATAAATGGCAATATACCTACATTAAATGAAGTGAAGGTAGGATGTTATAATATCTAACATGTTTCATTTAGTGAGATCCCCTTGAATTTGTGTAAATCATCAGGCCTGATATGAGTCATCTTCCTGAAGATGTGATATTTTATTTCATCTGCATTTATAAAATCAACAATTGGGTTGATTACTCTGTCAGAATTGTTCCACTGTTCTAATAAAACTCTGCGCTCCTTGTGTATAGGAGGTGTGATTACAGCAATTGCTCACATGCAAAGAGCAGCCATGAGTGAGAGTGACAGAAGAGAGGAGGCGTTTGACAGTCCAGAAGAAATGTGCCCCGGGTCGGGCAACGTTGTTTGGAAGCACTGAGGCGGCATTTTGGACTTTCTTCACCCTAATGCTGCCCACAGGCTTCACAAACTCTCATTTCCAACCTCCAATTGCTCACTCTCCTTACTGTCACAA